CCTATTATATAGCGAGTACTCGCCTCCCACCAATAAAAGGAAAATATGACCAAACTCCATAAAAGGAAATCTTAAAAAAGAAAGCATAAGAATAATCACATCTCCCTGATTATTAAAAACTGGTATTTATTCAAATTCAAGATTTTGGGGTCTTCTAAATAGTTTATTTTAGATTTTCTAAAAGGAAATTCACGGGAATTTGTTGGTAAAGAAAACTATGATGAGACTAAAGAGACAGAACAGGGGTTGAGACACTCACCTTTCATGTGGCCTATCCTGGTTCAATAACCAGTGACACATACCGAGCAACAAGCACTGCTAAGAATGATCCTGATCCCAGAGGCAGAAATAGCTCCTAAGCACTGCTGGGTGTGCAACTTTAACCCTATACCCCCAAAAAATGGAGAAAAAAATTGTCACTGTGACTGTATAGGAGGAGTAACAGAAAGCTCAAAGGATTGACTTTTTCCAGGTATTGGCACAATCCACGACTAGAATGATGAGTTCACTTCCCAAATGCATACTATTATAGCATCCAACGTGGAAGTAGTCAGAATCTCCTAAAACTGCAATAAGGAGAAGCTTATACTTTTCTTAGTCTTTCCCTTTCCACACTTCAAACACATTAGCTATTATAAATTTAATTGAGTCAAACTTTTCTTTAAATATCAAGCTTCAGGTGAACGCATCTGCAACTTGCATGAATAACCAGAGACAGAGCAATTTATCTGAGAATCAGTGGTATTCAGTCACTTAAGAGGATAATTTGGAAAAAGAGCTCTTCAAAGAAAGGTGGGTCTGGCAAGATCTACAAAATGTCAAAATAAGCCTTTAGCTAAAACAGATACAAGCACTGGCACATAGGACTACTTAATAGGGAATAGAGAAATGCAAATGAGAAGTTGTCTAAAAGAAAAAGTTCTTGACATCCCACAGACACAGCACGCTGAAGCCCCAGCAGTGCACCCACACCCCACAGTCACTGCCAGCAAATGGTCCAATTTCACTGCTTCACAACAGAGTCTTGGCAGAGATGCCAAGCCAATCAAAGTTCCAGGTACAACCGGTTTTCTGAATGAAAACTCTTGGGTCTTCTTGGAATGGAGGCAGGTAGCCAACCCCAAAACCCCATACAGCAGGATGCCCCAGCAACCACACCCACATGTAAACAAGGGCCCAACTTCGCAGCTTCAAGACTAATCTTGGAAGAGATACAAGCCAAGCCGCCAAAACTCATTGGTATACCAGTCTTGAACTGAAAACTCTGGGGTTGTCCCCTTGAGACGTGAATGGATCAAAAATTATCCCATTTCTACAGATCCTAGAGCTCCTGAAGAAACACCTCCAAATTCCACAATACTGATGGCCCAGTAAGAGTACATCAAATTAGATAGGAAAGTAGCATAGAAGCCAACTAAGCTCAATTAAAACAACAACAACAAAGCATTAACACAGAAGGTTCAACTAGCAACAAACAGCTCAGTAAACCCTCAAAGACTTTAATGACCTGACTGTGAGATACAACGACTTTCAAAATTTTTCTTTTACTGATGTATTTTTCAACAATTTCATTAGTCATTTTGTTGTAACAAGCAAAATAAAATTATTCTGTGCCTACTTGGGAGGTGGGTGGGAAACTAGGGACAATGGTGCAAGAAAGGTCCCAATGGTGGTGGGATTGGTGTTGGAATACCGAATGCTCAAAACAACTGTATTATAAACAACTGTATTATAAACACAGTGTTTAAATAAAAGTTAAAAAAAATTAAAAATTATTGAATTGGAGAAGTAGTACAGCTCTAGTACAGTGGGTTGCACACCTGGCATACAGCCAGACCAGGTTCAATCCCTGGCACCACTCTGAGCACTGCTGGGGGTGATCCCTGAGCACTGAATCAAAAGTAAGCCCAAGCACCACAGCGTGTGGCCCAGTTAACTTCCTTTCCTGAAAAAAAAAAAAGTTCTTTGGTCCCAGAGAGAGGATAGAAGGCTACATTTGCCTTGCATGCAGCTGTGCTGGCCATGACCCTGGTTAAACCCCCTCCCCTCTTACCACCACATGTGTTCCTGAGTGTCACCAGGGGTCACTCCTGAGCACAGCACCACTAGGAATGGCCCCTGGGCACTGTGAAATGTGACCCAACAACTCCTACATCAAATAAAATATAATAGAGAAGAAAAATTTTGCCACTTAGAAAGCAAAAACTACCCGCAGAATGGGAGAAGAGAACTTCAAGCTCTGTATGTGATAAGGGACTACACATACGCTTTTTATAGAATTAGACTATAAAAAGAACCCTTGCTTAGAAAAACTGTTATTCATAAGGCTAAACACGGAGACGTAACATTAGACTTAACAATTCCATATCTAGGTATATACCAATAAGTTAAAATATAAGCCTATACAAAATTTTGTATATAAATATCCATAAACTCTAATAGCCTCAAAGTGGAAACAATCCAACTATATACAAAGAGAGAAATGAAATGTGGTATAACCACATCCTTAGACTATTAATAACAATGCAATACAGTGTAGTACCCTTGCATGCTACAATAGGGAAGGGCTTTGAAAATAAGTCTGAGAGGAAGAAATCAGTCACAAGAAACCACCTACTATACAATTTCACTGATATATAGGGTCTAGAATAAACAAATCTATAAGGACACAAAAGCCTGTAGACACAAAATAGATTAGTGGATGTGTGGGCCGATGAGAATTGCAAGACTGGATGGGGGGCAGTGACTGCAAAGGCAATGACAAGGCTTATTTGAGGGTGATGAAATTATTTTAAAATTAATTGTGGTAATATTTGTCCAAATTTATGAGTAAACTAAAAATGACTGAACTGTGCACAAAAGGAGGTGCTGGAAGGCTGCGCGCTAGCCTTTCTGCTACCTCCCCAGCTACAAATTTGCACTCACATCGGCAAACTGTATAGAAACAAAATACGGGTCTACTTTGCTTTTTTTTGGGGGGGGGTTACACCTAGCTATACTCACAGCTTTCTCCTGGCTCTACACTCAGGATTTACTCCTGGCGGTGCTACAGGGAATCACCTGGGTCAGCCATGTGCAAAGGAAAGTGTCCTAAGCACTATACTATCTCTCCGGTCCCATAAAAAACCTGTTTTAACATAGCGCTTACAAAATAAAGAGCAGAGGATCCATGCCAGGTATATTCTGTGTCAATTAAGAACGAGTGGGAAGTTCCTTAGGTGAAAAATCTACAAGTACAGGGCTAGTGCCCCCAAACACACACTAAAACGGCAACATCTGAGCTTGGGAGTCTGGCTCTGCAAGGTTTCAGGTTGCTGACATCATGATCAATAATATAAAGGACGGTGTTTGCCCTGCAGAATGATTAAACATAGGGGAAAACCCTCCTATTCTACAGCACAGTTAAATAAGAGAAATGGTTGGTCTGGAGCGGATCACGGACGCGTGAGCCCGAGCAGAACCTTCTGATGGGCTGGACCGCAGAGGAGTGACCGCTGATCCGTGAGGCCGCGGGCGCGGACTCACTCTTGTCCACGTGGACCAATTCGGAGCAAAAGTAATTTAGGTGAGGATAAAAAGGAGGGAAAAAAGGAGTATATTGAGTGGTACAAAGGTTTTAAACTTTCTTGGAGTAATCATCACCCCTGATGAAATCATGACTCCCAAGTGCACTGATTTCCCGTTCCTAAAGTTTCTCTTAGAAACTACAGGCTGTAACTCAACACGCTCCAGCAGTCTTTGGAAACAAAGTTAAAACCACGAGGGGTTAATTACCTCCAGTGAGCAAATGCCTCCCGCCTCTTAAAAGCGCGACCAACGCACTCATTTCCAGGCCTTCACCAGGGACCAAACACCTGCGGCCAAGGAGCCCCGCAGCCCCGCAGCAGCCGGCATCCGGGAGGGAGGGAGGAGGCTGCGACAAGTCCCCAGGTGGGAGATGGGGATCGAACGTACCTGGAGTCAGTCAAGGGCAGAGGCGACGCCCAGGCATCCCGGGGACTGCATTTCTGCAGGGAAACCCGGGCGAGGCATTCCAGCGGGGAAACGGAGGTCGAGAAGCGGCAGCGGCGGCCCAGCGTCCAGCTCGGCGCGCGGGCGCCCGGGCCCGCTCCGCGTTTCCATGGTTAACGTCAACTCCCGCGGGCGCCAGCCCAGACGCCACAGGCCGGGAGCGCGCGGCGCGCTCGGAGGCCACACCCGGGCCCGCCCCCTGCCTGGGCGCGGCAGCGGCAGAGGCGCGCCGGGTGCGCTTCCGGCCCGAGGCTCCGAGGCGGCGGCGGCGGCGGCGGCTGTCCCGGGGGTCGCGGCGCCAGCTCTGAACTTTCACCCGGGCCGCGCCTCTACGCAAGAGCGTCGTTGCCTTGGCGACGCGACGTTCCTCGGCGGGGTGGTGCGCGGAGGCGGGATGCGCGGCTGCCATTTTGTGGACTTCTGGCTGCCGGCGGGCGGATCCCCGGTTCTGAAGTGTTGGGGGGACTCAAGGCCTTATCTTTCGGGTTCCGCGCGTGAGCTCGCCCCGCTCGATTTCCGGGCGGTCGTAGATGTTTTTTTACGTCTTGTTCAGCTTTGCAAGATTTGCAAACCCTGATCGCCCCGTTTATTGTATCCCTCCAGTTTATTGCATCCCCCCTCCTTCCACTCTCTCTCCTAAGTCGATTTAACGGTTGTTATTTCCCAAAACGGGCTAAGGAGCCCCACGTCGAAGCGTTCGGCGGAGGGATCTGATTTATTGTTAAATAAGGAAGAGCCCCCGGTTCCCAGAATAGGAAGGAAGAGCCTTAAGAGGAGGCTGTGTCTACTTAGCGTTTATTTCAAATCCGGAGGCTTGACCAGCTGACCACGAAGCCTCCAGTCCTGCGCAGTTTGAAACGCTTAGCACCAAGTTCGAGTCTGGCTCGTGGGCAGCTTCCAGATTTGGGACGAGGAGCGGGGGGGCGGGGGGTGGGTCCCGGAGCTTTTCCTACTGATCTACGTTGATGGAGAGGCTCCTGCGAAGGAAACTTGGAGCCATTTTGTGGGCGTCGGGGCTCCTCGGTTTCCTCCCGCGGCACGGCTGCTCCGGCAGTCGGGACCCCCAAGTGGCCCGGGCGCGGCAACCGTTTCGGTTTCTGAAGACGTTATGCACTTAGGTTTTCAAGTCAGAATGAAGGGGAGGGAAAAAGAAAAGAAAAGAAAAAACAGCATTAAAAGAAAGTCCAGGTGTGTATCTGTGAGACTTCTGTGTGTCTGTATAAACTTCACAGCGGCAAAGGGGTAAGGGGCTTTCACTGGAGGCTTGTAGACCCAAACCCTGGGGCGTTTTGTCGCGTGCTCGATTTCAAGGACAGTTTGCAGGAAGAACCTCTGCTGTCCACTGTGAAGGGGACGATTGTTCTTGGGCCCTTGGTGGCTTTTCCCACTTTCGTGGGGGGGGGGGGGCGGTGGGCAGCATTGGGTTCGAGAGAAGCATGGGGCACCTCCTGCTGCAGGTGCTGGTAAAAACCCCGCACCCCACCCACTGCTGGTGTGGTCTTGGGGTTACCTAATCTCTCTGGCCCTGTTCCCTTATCTTGTAAAATAGGGTTAATAATAGCGTTTATCCGACACATGAGTTGTGTAAATCCGATGAAATCGGACGACTGTAAGTCGCTTAGAAGGTACCTGGCACAGATTTAAGCGCTTACTGAGAAGCTATTTCCCTTCGGTCCAGTTGGAGTTCAGCACACCTATTCTTGTCAGCCTTACTCAGTGATTACCCCAGCTGGAGCGAACATTTTTTTGAAATACCTGTTGCAGATATTTTTGCTATTTTTCTCTCTTTTTTGCAACGATGTTCGTACATTGCAATTTCTTTGAATAAAATTACAAAAGCCATCTCTAGGCCACACCCGGCGGACTCTGGGATCACTCCTGGTGGGTTCAGGGGATCATAGGCAGTGACCAGGATCAGACCCTGGTCAGAGTACTTGTACAAAGCAAGCATCTTAGCTGCTTTCCTATCTCTCTGGCCCTGTTAGGATATATTTAACTATATATTACCTTTACAATATTTCAATCATTAAAATTATAAACAAACGGAAAGAAATGTCCCCTAGGGGCTGGAGGAAGGCCTGTCATGGGCTGGAGAGCATGCTTTGCCTGCAGGCTGTCAGAATAGATCCTGTCACCTTCTGGAGGACCAGGAGAAAAGGGAGAAGCCTCTGAGTATCATTGAGCATCCGTCAGGCCACAATAAACCAGAAGGGGAAAAAAAATCATGTGGAGGGAGAGTTTACAAGGAATAAGGTGCTTGCTTTGCCTGCAGCCAAACCTGGTTCTATCTGGTTCAGAGCATTCCAGGGGGTCACCCCTGAGCACCAACAGATGTGGACCAAAAGTCCCCAAACAAAACAAGCAAAAGATATAGTGGATTTTGTGAAAACGAGTGTACAGAAAAGATTATTAGAATGTTTGTAAATCCTACTGAATTGTTATTTATGGATCTCAAATTAATTACTGGATTAATATTTTTACAATGTGATTTTCCTCTAAAAAGACATTGTAATTAGTAGAAAATATATGTACATACAACGAGTAGCAAGCAAGAGAGATGCATTTACTTACAGACTAATATATTAAAAAACAGTGATCATTATTATTTGTGGCTTGTGGCTTTCATATAAAACTTGTCTGATATTTTTCTCTTGTAACTTTGTCCTCAAATCATAATAAATAAAATTTTAGAGAAAAACTTCTCTTAGGGACATATATGTTCTACCTAACTCATAATAAAATCAAAATCAACCGAAAAGTCAAATGAAAATATTTTTATTGGTTGTACCAATTACTGCAGAAACATGCACTCTATCCCATGATTCACTATCTGCTGGGCAGCTTGTTCCTGTATCATTGGTTTGACCAAAATGTACATTGGGCTAGATCATTAGACTATGAAAACAAAGTTCAGTGTACAAAGTCTAATGTTTACTGTATAAAACATTATGTATGTTTATGTATGCTTCCTTTCTCATACATACATATATTGAGAGAGAAACAGAGAGAGAGAGAGAAAGGTGAAGAGTAAGAATATGTGAGGGACTGGAGCAATAGTACTGTGGGTAAGACATTTGCCTTGCATGTGGCCAACCAAAGCTCTATCCCTGGTGCACCATAAGGTCCCTTGAGCCCACCAGGAAGTGATCTCTGAGCTCAGAACCAGGAGTTAAGTCCTGACCACTGCTGAGTATGCCCCTCCCACTCCACCCCACAGCCCCAAAAGAATATGATGTGATATTTTTGTTTGGGAGTCACACTTGGCAGTGGTCAGGGGCAACTTCTGGCAAGTGTTTGGGAGCCTCTCCTGATGCTGATGAAAGTAAAGTAGGGGGTGGGGGAAGCGCACAGTGCTTGGAATCAATCTCAGGCTCTGGAATGTAAAGCCTGCACTCCAACCTTTTGAGCTCTCTCCCTGTTCCTCAGGATTTTTATTCTTTTTTTCCCCAGTACACATAAGTAGTGTTTGCTTTATGAATGAATGAACAATCTTTATTTTCCTTCTTTTGACCAATAAAAGAAGCAAAAGCAATCCTGCTTGAGAATGCTTTGGAAACATTTAATTCTGTTTTCATGATCTCTATTTACTATATCAGTATTTTCCTCACTCCCTATCAAAGCAGGAAACACAATAATTGATCTTTTTTCTTGTTGAATACAGCAGTATGGGAACTTTTCCAGATTAATGGAAACAAAAGAAAAAGTGATTTTAGTGTGAAGGGGAGATACTACGGTTTTCATTGAGCATATTTATCAGAAATGACTTCTTTTTATCTTTCAGTTATATAGTAACAGGGAATAATCCCAAGGATTAATCACATAAGGAAAGGCTTTACATTGCTGGCCCAGAACAGTAAGTTCTGAGAAGTATTTCACACTATGTATGAAACATGTTCATTTGACAGGCAAGTCATTTAAAGTCAATATTTCAGATTTCTCCTCAATAATATTAAGAGATTGGGCCATATCTCAAAATTTCCATTTAATTATTTCTGCTCTTGTTATATTTTAAATTTATTATAGTATGAACAAAAATTAAGTCTATACATTGTGGGGCTGGAGAGATAGCACAGCAGGTAGGGCGTTTGCCTTGCACGCGGCCGACCCGGGGTTCAATTCCCAGCATCCCATATGGTCCCCTGAGCACCGCCAGGAGTAACTCCTGAGTGCAGAGCCAGGAGTAACCCCTTGCATCGCCAGGTGTGACCCCCCCCCCAAAAAAAAAGTCTATACATTGTAATGCAAAATTTAAGGTTAAGTTTTCTAAGAAACTAAACTTTTAACATAAAAGTGAGCTTGGGGGAAAAAGTTTAGTGGATGGAGTAATAGCACAGCAGGTAGGGCATTTGCCTTGCACGAAGCCGATATGGCCAACCAGAGTTCCTTCACCCCTCTCCGAGAGCCTGGCAAGCTACCAAGAGTATCTCGCCCAAATGGCAAAGCCTGGCAAGCCACCTGTGATGTATTTGATATGCCAAACAAAGTAACAAGTCTCACAATGTTACTGGGCCTGCTAGAGGAAATCGATGAACACCGAAGGACAGTGACAGTGATTTGCAATAAAGCAAACCTAAACAAAATGATTATTGATAACCCAAACTTCTAAAAAAATGTACTACTCACCACTTTTACTGGGTCAGTGGTTTCTGTCATTATTGGCATGAAATATTGTGTCACCTTAATCAGAAGTACATTAATATTAAAATTTACTTGCTGAGGGTTCTCTTTTTAAGGGCAATTAAGTAAAAAATATTAAAGCTAGTATTGTTCAGATTTCTGCTGCAGAAGAATCAAATAGTTTGTGCTTAGCCTCTTTGATTAAAAGTAGTGGTCAGAGATGCTGAAATCCTTGAAGGTGATTTTGAAGATGAAATTCTGGACTACCCTGGCAGCAATCAGAAATAATTAACAGTACCAAATGCTTCATTTTTTCTCTAGGCTGCATGACAAATTACATTTACTATTCCAGGATTGTTGCATCTTAAAATAAGACCACCATCTAAGCAATTTACTAGACAACTCCAATCAAAATGTAGTGCTTAACATTTTCTTATTGCTATAGAAATGAAGAGAATGATTGTCTATGTTGATTAGCTTGAAGATTGCTTTGGGAAGAATTTGACAATTCTAGTAACATTACAATTTACAACCTGTGAAGAGGATTGAATAGGACATTTACTATTAGACTAGTTTAAGGCTTCCTTCTTATAATTTTATTCTATTACTTTACTGTATCAAGAAGATCCTTGTAATGTATATTTAAAAACATACAATATGTTTTTATGATAACTTTTAACATCATTCTCAACTAGATAAAAATAGCAAATATATGCCATAATAAATGTACCAAAATATTGATGCCCACTATGTGTAAATTTTGTGATAGTCGATGTAGTAGATACAAAGAAGAAAAATGGTATTTAATATCAAAGTACTCATAGTTTAATGGATAGAAAATTCACAAGAAAAAAATGAAACTGATAAAACGCAGAACCAATTACATTTACTATGATGAGCTGAATATGACTAATACAGTCTCACTTGCCACAGTTTTTTTTTTAATTTTATTTATTGTATTTATGTATTTATTTTTTCTACTTTTTGGGTCACACCTGGTGACGCCCAGAGGTTACTCCTGGCTCTGTACTCAGGAATCACCCCTGGCGGTGCTCAGGAAACCATATGGGATGCTGGGAACCGAACCAGGCTCGGCCGCGTTCAAGGCAAACGCCCTACCCGCTGTGCTATCGCTCCAGCCCCCAGTTGCCACAGTTTTAAAGACTAAAGAGAGTTTTTTTTTTTAATCTACCAGATACCACAAAATAAGACATTTGGAAAGTAATCCTTTGTTTTATGTTAGAGAGAAAAGTTATAATTGAGTGTTAATTATATTACATCTGGCAATGTATAGGAATATTTTCAAATATGATAAAGACCCTCAGTGCTGACTAGATGATTTATTTTTCATGAAACTTCTGATTTGAAGGCCAAATCAGAAGGTCAAACTTAGTTCCTTAGTTTAAAACCAAGTCTAATGCACTCATTTTCTTAGCAAAAGGTTTAGTGATTGAAAGAAGGTTAATTAGCTATCTACTATATATAAATTCCACACA